GCTCCTGGATTAGATTCAAACCCGTAGCATTTATTTCATTACAGTTGTAAGTTTTACTCAAAAATACCTTGAAAACTTGCATTACTGAGCGGGCTCGCCTCTCCACAGATCTGTAAGAAAGATTTGTTTTCAGAGGTGAATTTGCAGTTTGTATGTAAAAGATGGGTACAAACAAAGGGAAATGTCTCAGTTTTTAAAAATACCCGTGTACGTGTAAACCTGAGTGGCCTGAGTTGTACGTTCTTAGTTATAATCGCCTTGATCATCACAAATTCATTACATCCATTTACATTTCAGTTTGATCTATTCCTTATTTTTTATGAGTTTCAGTTTCCTCTTAAACACAACTTTTTTTTTAAAAAGTTTGTTCCCCTTTCTGAAGTTACAATATTTTAAATGGTTAATCACTATGGCAACAGCCTTAATTTTTCCTCATTCTGAACCCATGGATTGCTGCTTTTTGGTTGGTTTTTGGTCACCTGCTTGTTTCTGTGGATATGTCACTGCTCTGCTTGAATCTGTGTATCATTCGTTCATTCGTTTTTCAATATAAAACCAAAAATAAGAAAACGAAAAAACAACTGTTTTCTTCATTATTTGTCTTTAAAGCCAAAATGAAAAAACAGATAATGATTTGTTTTTTTCAGTTTTCGATTTTGTGTTTAAATGAACAATGGAAAAAACGGATAACGGCCCGTTTACGTGACTTCCGTGACTGCGATGCACTGCTTTGCACTGCATACGGACTGAACCAGGACTGATCCAGGTCTGGGACCAGAGCGGGACCAGGGCGGACTCCAAGCTTTGACTCCGAGCCTCCGCAGGGTCAGACCCTCAGCTTCAAGCTCTGGCCCTGCCTTGGGCTCTGAGCCTCCGGTCTGGTCCCGGTCTCAGTCCTGATCTCAGTCACGGTCTGGTCTCAGTCTCAGTCCCAGTCTGGTTCCGGTCTGGTCCCGGACCTGGATCAGTCCTGGTTCAGTCCGTATGCATCAGAAGTCCAACATTGCAGTCACGGAAGTCACGTAAACGGGAAACAGCCGTTATCCGTTTTTTCCATTCTTCATTTAAACACAAAATTGAAAACTGAAAAAGCTATTTTTTTCATTTTGGTTTTGGAGGCAAATAATGAAGAATTTTTTTTTTCTTTTTCTTATTTTTGGTTTTATAATGAAAAACGAATGAACGAATGATACACGGATTTGCTTGGAATGTTCCACAGTGTGACATTAAACAGCTCTATCTAACATTTATTAAATTACAGATGGTTTTATAGCTCAAAATAACTACAAAAGATGGAAAGACATTGTTATTGCTTTGTCTGGAATGTTTCACGGTATGGCATTACACTTTTCTAAGTATGGAGAGTATATGTTGTGCTTTCTCAAATTTCAAAATGTTCAAAATAAAGTAACTCAAATGGTTAATCACTATGGCAACGGCTCTAATTCCGCCTCATTCTGAACCCACGGATGGCCGCTGTCTTGCACTCCTGCTTTGGTGCACTCGCTGATCTGTGTGGAGACGGCCGGTGACGCTCTGAATCGGGGTTGGTGGAGGAAGGGAGGATTTATTTCTCCTGGAACCAAATTTAGCTCCTGATGTCAAGGCAGGCAGACGCTGCACTGGCTCATTGTGCCATATAATCCCCCGGCGAAGCTTGCATATTACAGGACACTGAGGACACGGCTAAACCCCACCCAGCCCCGGCCCACTGCAGAGGAAATGCATGAATATCACTCTTCGGTTTTGTATTAGACTCGGTGGTTTGAGAACGTTCAGTTGATAATCGTTTGTTGAGCGAAGTTGTTTAACCGACATAATCTAGTGCAGTGGTTATATTTTAAAGAGGCTCTATTGCCGTACATAAAATGAAAAAAAAAATAAAAAATCTTGTGAGTTTTAAGTTATGTTATAATTTGAGCTGACTGTCATTAAGAAGTTGCCGATACGATACATTGGAATTCGTGTATCGTTCGTTCATTTGTTTTTCAAAATAAAAACCAAAAATAAGAAAACGATAAAACAACTATTTTCTTCGTTATTTGTCTATAAAACCAAAATGAAAAAATGGATAACGATACCGGGACTGAGACTGGGACTGAGACCGGGACCGAGACCGAGACTGGGTTCAGATCGAGACTGAGACCGGGACCAAGACCGGGACCAAGACCGGGACCAAGACCGGGACCAAGACCGGGACCAGACCGGACTCAGACTGGGACCAGACCGGGACTGAGACTGAGACCAGGACTGAGACCGGGACTGAGACTCGGACTGAAACTGGGAGCAAACCGGGACTGAGACCAGCACTGAAACCGGGACCGGACCAAGCCCACACCATGAATAAACTAGAACTTAGACCTGGTTTAGTCCTGGTTCAGTTCTGGTTTAGACCTGTTTTTGACCTGTTTTAGTCTTGAATTAGTTTTGGTTTAGTTCTGGTTTAGTTCTGGTTCAGTCCATATGTGGCGCAAAAGTCCAGCATCGCAGTTTACGTCACGTAAACTGGAAATGTCTGTTACCCGTTTTTTCCATTACTCATTTAAATAAAAAATTGAAAATTGAAAAAAACTAATCATTATCCGTTTTTTTTTTTTTTGTTTTTTTCATTTTGGTTTTGGAGACAAATAATGAAGAAAATAGTAGTTTTTTAAAAATTTTCTTATTTTTTGGTTTTATTTTGAAAAATGAATGAACGAATGATACACGAGTTTTTTGGCCACCATACGATGTTTTTCGATACAGTGCACTTTTGATTCAATACAATTCAGTACAATATATTTCAAATTGATTCGATGTGGTTCAGGTTTACTGGGATTAATCCTCCTTGTATAGATTAACCTTGAGCGAGTGAATGACAAGTTAATTCAACCAATCACAATTTGTTAGCTTTTAAGGCAATATAAAGCTTCATTACATTCTGTGGACGCCTTTCTTGGACATATTTTCAAGACTGGACTGACTTGATTTGAGTTACTGTTGACTTCGGCTCGTGCAGAGAAGGGTGGGGCATGGGAGGGTTTTGTTTTTGTTTTGTTAAATGTTAAAATTAAGAAATAAAATAATAATAATAAAAGAAATTCATTACCATTACTCATTACCTAGTGAAATTGTTTTGTCACGTCTTTTCTACAGACCAGTCACAACAGGCTAAATCACTTTGAGGTCATAGAGTGAATATGGAAAAAACAGTACACAAAACTTAAATTAAAGTTTGGTTTAATAAAGCCAGTCAGATTGTATAGGTAATAGTTTGGACTGTGTGAATGAATAAAGGACTGGACTCTGACTGGACTCCTCGTCGTTGTCTGGAGTCTGGGCTTTGACAGCTGCTGCAGGAGGATGAATTAAAGCTCGTGTTGTGTCTGTGTCACTTCAGACCGGAGCCAGTGCTATAGATTGGTCTGAAAATAAACATTAGCGCGCTCTTATTTTGAAACATAAGCATAAACGGTATGCTCTTATTTTGGAAACGCCTGATTCTATTTGCAGCGTAAGACTATTTCTGCAAGTCTGATCAATGCACAGCTCCTGCTCAAGGACGAAAACCGTGTGTGTCTGGCAGGATGCACTAAAAACTATGTTTAATTAATTCATGCTTTAATGTTTGATTGGAAAGATTGACCAGTCGACTTTTAAAAATAACACTTGACTATTTTATATAAATTGCAGACTATAGCGCAGGTCATTTACAACATTGTTTCTCAAAGACTGGGTCACAAGAGATTTTTTTTTGGGTCGCCTTTTCACAAGTTGCATGTAGGTCTGTGATATACTGTACATATACATACATCTCCAGATCCCACACTCCTCACTTCTTCTTCTGTGTGAAACACTGATTACTGTTTTTCCTTGTTTAAAACTTGAGTACCGTATTTTTCAGACTATAAGGCGCTCTTAAAATCCCTTAATTTTGTGAAAAATCGACAGTGCGCCTTATAATCCAATGCACCATATGTATTAATTCTGGTTGTGCTTATTGATCTCGGACCAATTTACACATATATTCCACTGAGTCATGTTCTTTAGTCCCACAGAAGCTGAATGCATCAGCGCACAAAGAGCAAGCTGTTTTGTTTTTTTTTGTTTTGTTTTTTTTAATTGCTTATAGTTTATGCAAATTAGCCATGTATTTTTAAGTTTCGTTTGTGTAAAATGTAAAAAAAAAATGTGCGCAAAGCTACATTAAACACATTATTACTCAATCTATATTTGAGTTGTCCTCGTAGGAAATGAAAAAGTCTCAAGTATCGTCCGTTTGTTTTGCTTAATGCGTCTTATAATCCAGTGCACTTCATGTATGAAAATAAATGAGAGAATTATTCATATTGCACCTTATAGTCCAAAAAATACGGTAATAGAGAGACACAATCAGTCAGTCAACAATAAAATATCCTCATTAATGTTCAATAATGGTCACAGATTTATTTTGTGATTCATGAATAATGTCTATTGACTTGGGTCAACTTGTAACTTTTACAATTTATAATGAAAATGTATCAAAACCTTAATTTGGCATTGTACAATTTTAGCTGGTTAAATTTTTACTTTAAATTTTAATAGAAAAAAAAAAACACATTGGTTGAGCGGTGCTGTCATTGTGCCCTTGGACACTTAACCCACCTCACCCCCAGTGTCTGTGTACTCTTGTGTATGAACGTGTGTGTGAATGTGTGAGTGGTTCCTTGTTGTAAAGCGCTTGGATGCCTTGAAAGTGGAAAAGCTCTGTATAAAATTGTGACCCTTTAATGTTTATTTGATCACTTCCAACTTCATTAGAAATAATCGTTTGACTAGTTCTAAAATATTAACTCCTTTTATTTACTAGTGAGTGTCAACACATTGATTAGACTAAATCTGAATCAAAAGTGTTCTGAATTTGAAGATTTACTTACAATTTTCAAATTAGAAAGGGTTTAATAATGATTCATGTGGTAGAGAATTTGTCTGATTATTTTGAAATCAGCTAATATCCTAAATTTTTTGTGTTTCCTCTTCAGGCCCAGTTACGAGCGTTTATCCCAGAGATGCTGAAGTACTCGACGGGCAGAGGGAAGCCGGGCTGGGGGAAGGAGAGCTGTAAGCCGGTGTGGTGGCCCGAGGACATCCCCTGGGCCAACGTCCGCAGTGACGTGAGAACAGAGGAGCAGAAGCAGAGGGTGAGAAGAGAGACAGAGAAACTTCTTTTTTCATTACAGTAATAAAGGATTCAATGGAACTCAACCATGACTGCCCACCTAAATGTCCCGGAAGGATGTTTTCCATAGTTTTCCCTCAGACATTCCAACTATGTGAACTAATGACAAAAATAACTATAATTTCCAGTTTTAAATGTGTGTTTTTTGGGGGAAGAGGACTGAAAACTGCCATTTTACGGACATTAATTACATACTTAGGTTCAATTACATACTTGCCCTATGTAAAATATTTAAACTATATTCCAACTTTTATATGATTGAGATTTTTTATAATACATTTTAATCTATAATAGAAATAAAAGCTTGACTAGACCAAAATAATCCTAGTCCCAGTCCCAGTCTAAATGCCCTGACTAACCCTCCGCCTCTTGTTTCTCCTGAAGGTGTCGTGGACGCAGGCTCTCCGCACAATCGTTAAAAACTGTTACAAGCAGCACGGGCGCGAGGACCTGCTCTACGCTTTTGAAGATCAACAAGTGACCACTGCCACAGCAACACACGCTCACCTGACCGCCGCCCAGAGCATAGCACACCTGGTGCCCTCCCAGACGGTGGTCCAGACCATCAACAACCCCGACGGGACTGTGTCGCTCATACAGGTATTGAACAGTCAGTAAAAGTAAAAGGCAAAGAAAAAGAAAAAGAATAGTAGTACTGTATTTTTTGGAATATAAGTCACACCAGCCAAAAATGTGTAATGAAAAAGAAAAAATATATATGTAAGCGGACTACAAGTTGCACTTTTTGGGGGAAATGTATTTTATAAAATCTGAGACCAGGATCCGCCATTTCATTTTGAAAGTCAAGTTCTAGTAATAAGAATAGAACGGAGAACAACAGACTGTTAAAGCCACATATGAACAGTTCTTCAGATAAACTATAGCATAAACAACAGAACAGAACAAGTTTAACAAACTCTCCATCTCACTCCAAATCACTAAATCCATTTAATTCTTCATCCTCAGTGTCACTTCTGAGCAACTTTGCAACCTCTGGAGGTAAATCATAGATCCATTAGGTAAACAGAGTGCTACTTCCTCTTCTGTGTCGCTGTCGTCAGACTCAGCATCAGTTCCAGTCAGAATTATTCCGGCCTTTCTGAATCCTGACAGGATGGTTTCTGTTGTCACTGAAGTCCAGGCTTTCTCGATCCATTCAGTGACTTCCAAGAAAGTTTCATGGTGCACCCTCCCGGTTACCGTGAAGCTGTGTTCTCCATCCCGAATTTCCGCCAGTCCCTCCCTTTCTACTGCTCAATTATCGTTTTCAGCTGAATATTTCACTACTTGCAGCAGGACAGTGGCTCTTTCTGCAGGAGACATGCGCAGTAGAGTGAAGTGACAGTGGTACAGGAGGAACAGGAGCAGCAGATACTGACACACAAGCATATAGCCTCTCGTGGCTGACAGTGTGAAAGTTTTAATATACAAGTTGCACCAGAGTATCACAGTAAGTCACAGGAAACACCCAAACCATGAAAAAAAGTGTGACTTGTAGTTCCAAAAAATACGATATATGATCAGATTCATTTCATGCATTTACACATTTTAAACCCATCCAACAGTATTAACAATTTTTGGTCATATATTCAGCTATTTCTTTGCTTTAAATACAGTATGTTGTATCACATGTATCTGTTCTTTTCCTCAGGTTGGCACAGGTCACACAGTGGCGACTCTGGCAGACGCCTCAGAGCTTCCTGGAGTCACAGTGGCACAAGTCAATTACTCCACTGTCACCGATGGAGAGGTAACACTCCTCTGTACTGTTTGGAGAAATGGATCATTTAAAATGACCTTTATTCACCTTTTATATATATCAAAACATGTTAATACCACAGTCAAAGAAATTATGTATGTTTTTATGTGTCACTTGCAAAAACCTTAGCCTCAGAGAACAGGATGAAAGTGTTTGCTTCTGTGGAGGAAATGTTTGTTTTTTGCCCTCATAGCTGATAAGATAAATGAAGATGAGAAAGGGACAGACTCACAATCTTATCTCCATAAATGTAATTCAGTTTTCAACTTTTTTATGATCTTTGTGCAATTTATTTATTTACTTAGTTGGTTTTAAATCTGAGAAAGTGCGGGTATTTGATCTGAGTGTGTGTGTTTGAGGTGGAGCAGAACTGGGCGACTCTTCAGGGCGGAGAGATGACCATCCAAACGACTCAGGCCTCAGAGGCGACGCAGGCCGTGGCGTCTTTGGCCGAAGCCGCTGCTGTGGCAGCCGGACAGGAGATCCAACCCGGAGCTACGGTTACCATGGCGCTCAACAGGTCAGGCCATATCACGAAGAAGTTAAACGAGAGAAATCACATTATAATAGTTTCCTCTCATTATAGGCGAGTTTCAACTGACGAAATATTAAATATTTTGGTCGGAGGCAAGAAACACGATAGCGGTCAAACACAGTGTGTAACCTCGCGTATTTATCCCCGATAAATTCCTGCTGCATTATCGGATGCACAAATAGAAACAGGAAGAAGGAAAATGTCTTTTTCGTATTCTGAGTGAAAAGAACCGCTAACGGTGAATTAAATGGCTTTCAAACATTCGCAGAGCAAACGTAGAAGATCCTAGCAAACTGTGGACTCCAACAAGTTCAACAACACATCGAGACTCTTGGAGGTTTTCATCTTTTCTGCTGTGAATGGCCCAGGAGTTTCCACCAAGTCATTGTGGATATCGCCCAAGTGAATATTTGTCCAGGTAGTTGGCGATTCTGACCAGAAATTTGGTTTGGTCCACCTTTTGTCGGGGTTGAAAAGGGTGATTTGGCTCCATCGATGTTTATGACCAATTTCTGGTCAAATGGTCTTGGGTCCTCTGCCGTTAGAGTGGATAAATAACCGGGATCAATACCCTTTACGTGCTTTCTCGCTCCGTCCGTCATGTTGAATTAGTGTTTCTTGCCGCCGACCAAAATAATTCCCAGCATGCAACGCGCGTTTTTGTCAACAATGAAACTCGCCTATTAACCCTTGTGAATGTGTATTTTGAGTGATTCGTGCATGTTTGAGTTATTGTATTGTACTTACACATTTGAGGTGCCATTGCTCAGAAAAGTCGAGTTTTTATTATCTCGGTACGTAGCAAAATGCACTGTAATTACTGTAATTTCTGGACTGTAAGCCACTACTTATTTCTCACACTGAACCCTGTGGCTTATACAACGATGCGACTAATATATGGACGGATTCTTTGTTTGGCACATTGTCCATTCATATATACGGTCTATGGTTTGGCAACAGTGGATGTGCGCAGCCTGAGTGCAGAAAACTCCGCTGTCTGTGCGGTTTACACATAGAACATGAAGATGCAGCGTTTACTAGCAATTATCAGCGTACTAAAACAGTTTATCGCCGTGTCATAAAATAAGTTATGATGCTAAATGAACATTAATGAGGGGGATACGTCTTACCCGTGTACGAAAATGATGAGAAGAAACTTTTCAAAAAACTTCAGTAGCCGGACATCCACTCAGACCTGATTGACACAACTAACCCTGTCCCCAAGAGAGTCTGAAATCTGCTGAAATTCTATAAAACACTGACATGATACAGACAGGACAGAGGCTCTTTCTGCAGGAGACATGCGCAGAGAGAAACGGTGGTGATGCGCCGAGGAAGATGCTCGTTTGATTGTGTTTTGAACAGTTATTTTGCACTTCATACACACACCCTCCTCGTGGAAAACACACAAAGAAACATAGATAATGCAGCTTTTACGTTAAAGGCAACTGATGTGGTTATTGAAGAAGAAAATCGAGCTGCTGCACGTGAGCTCGGCATCAGTGAGTCGAACGTGACGAACTGACTCAACGCAAAAAGATGACAAAAGCTTTCAGAGGCGATGAAAGCAGACGGCCCGAACTTGAAAACGTTCTTGAAGTCGTGGACACCTGCGGCTTATAGACAAGTGCGGCCTGTATATGTACAATTTTAAAATTTATTTGATGTGGCTTATATTCAAGTGCTCCCAATAGTCCAGAAATTACGGTACTATTTTTCTTAGATTTTGGGTTTAGTTCAGCAGCATCATGTCTATCTTTTCATCAGTTTATGTCCATGTTTTAGTTTGCAATGAACAAAATGTACAATTATAATCTGTATATGTCATAGATAATGACTCAAACCAAGGCCCAATATTTCTTTTAACATCTTTTTTTCTCTTTCCTTTTCCAATCAACTATTTAAACAGCAAAAAATAGCTGCTTGAAATTTCCAGTCCATGCATACGAGTCTGTTAACCATACAGTGCTCCAGTGTTCTCAGTCTTGCAAAACACACACACACACACACTTGAGTTTGTGTGTTATTCCATTAGCTGAAAACGAGATGCACAATTATTACCACTTTTTCATGGTGATTGTGTCAGGACAAATATTCTAGTCAGGTGTGGTCCTGTGGGGCTTGTTACCTGTTCCCACCTGAGACCTCCACCTCTCCCTCCCTCTTTCTCTTTCTCTCTCCGCTTTCTCTCTCTTCTCTCCTCTCTCTTTCTTCTCTCTCTTTTCTCTCTTCTGTTTGTGGTTGCTAAGCCTTCATACTCCACGGAAACCAGAACAATTTCCCTCTTATGGCTTCACAGATTCAAACAGAGATCTGTTTGGCTTTGGTAAGGATAGAGCAAGATCTTGGTTGATAAAACTGACTCAGGATTGTGGGAAATTATTTTGTGATACATTATTTCCCCTTGGATTACATTTAAGGTTAAGTTATAGTGAAAAACTCTAGTAAAAAATGTGTGTGACTAAAGAGAAGTAGACCACTGCAAACCATTGTAGAAACCCAATAGGGATGTAACAATTATCGAAATATCATATCGTACGTTAAAGTTCTCACAATGACATCGTGGACCATCACAATATATCGAATTACAAGCTTCTTTAATTAAATGCTTTATGTTTTATTGCAGCAACAGCTAAAACTGGAGGAAACTACATAGACACTGATCTTTTGTGCTATTTCAGTGCAGCAAACTTGAAGAAATATCTGTCATAAAGAACTTTTCAATCTTAATTCTTTGGACATGGACATTATGATACTAATATTGTCCAAAGTCCAGGCCTTTTAAAAGAAAAAACGTAGAATTTCTGTTAACTTCTGCACAATATCTCAAAAATATTGTATTGTGAAATAATCCGTGTATCATTCGTTCATCTGTATTTCAAAATAAAACCAAAAATAAGAAAACAAAAAAACAACTATTTACTTCATTATTTGTCTCCAAAATCAAAACAATTATTTTTTTCAGTTTTCGATTTTGTGTTTAAATGAATCATGGAAAAAATGGACAACGGCCGTTTCTCGTTTATGTGACTTAAACTGCGATGCTGGACTGAACCGGGGATGAACCAGGACTGAACCAGGACTGAACCTGGAGTGAGTGTCGGGACGGGCCTGGAGGTACGCCCGTGTAGACTGTCTGGTGAGCAGGATTGAGACCAGGACTGAGACGGGGACGAGACCGGGACGAGAGACCTGGTTTACTCCTGGTTTAGACCTGGTTTAGTTCTGATTCAGACCTTGTTCAGACCTTGTTCAGACCTGTTCAGTCCTGGTTCAGTCCAGCATCACAGTCACAGAAATGGGAAACGTCCGTTATCCTTTTTTTCCATTATTCATTTAAACACAAAATCGAAAACTGAAAAAACAGATCTTTATTCATTTTTTCATTTTGATTCTGGAGACAAATAATGAAGAAAATAGTTGTTTTTTTGTTTTCTTATTTTTGGTTTTATATTGAAAAACGAATGAACAAATGATACATGGATTCTGATGCTCGTTCTGTTAAGCGTTTTATGATTAGATTCAGACAGTAACAGCTGACACACTGAAATTTGAAGGTGCACCACATAACATTTATGGTGCAGAGTCCATCACTTGTTTGTCTACTAATCCATTAACTGTACATGCATCTATAGACTGTATCTGTATGTGTATTTTTTACTCAGAGAACACATGTTAGTGTATTATTAGTTACATTATTAAGAGTCTGACATGTAATAGGCGGGCAGAGCTAAGTCCAGTGCTCAGTCAAAGTGCTTTGTTCAGAGTGGGGCACCTGGCCATTAGGAGATGTAGCAGATTCTCCATAAGTCCAGACAGGAAAGCCTCTTACAGCTCCACCTCCTCTCCCCCGCTCTTAATAAGCCTGTATATGTGTGTGCCAGGGCGTACGCCACGTTTATACTAACATCAACTGCCCACGGATCATTTATTTATTTGTTAAATATGGACACTAGCACACTTCAGTGTCTGTAAATGTGACGGTTTTAGCTTTAAACCGAATTTTCATCTGCTGTACCAGAGTGAGGGATACATATACCACCAATATACTGTATGTTTTTTACACTCCTGATAGTTAAAGGTGCATCGTGTAACTTTTTGGTCCCCATGGTTAGGCCTGTCACAATAAATACTATACTGACTTATGGTTCAATGTATGAAAACAGAACAATATATTTTGTGGCTCAATATTAATCATGTGTGGAGTGTCTTTGTAAAAGTAGGGAGAATTTGGAGTCTTTTTGTTTTAGTATAACATGATTTCATCTGTACAGGGTTAAATAACCATCTTGGCTAATTACTGGTTCATCCTGCTATTTATTTGATACACTTTAGCTCTTTTAATGATTCTGTCTTTTTAAAAATGTTTAAAAGAATTATATTGCTTTATTTTTATGGTGTCATTGGCATAAAGTAGTTTCAGTGTTATTGTGTATCACAGTATATCTCTGTAGCAAGGCCTAACTATGGTAATGTTCTCGCTATTCTGGGAATGTTTAACACATTATGCCATTAAACATGTCAATCTCCATGGAGACAAGAAAGTAACGCCATCAGGCCAAGTTACAGGTCAGATCTATGGTGAACCTATGCTCTTTGTGTTTCAAGGTACATTTGAGCAAAAATAAAAACACCAGTATTTACATAAATGTAGTATCCATATAATTAATTTCATGCTTTGGAACACTCGGCCTGTTTCTTCACACACTGATGTATGAATGTGTGAGTGTTTATGTGATAATCGACATACATCCTTAGCTGTATCTGTACAATATAAGATGAGTTGTATATATTTATGAATCCTGTTGTTTACTTTTGTTACAGTGAGGCAGCCGCTCACGCTGTGGCCACTTTGGCCGAGGCGACGCTTCAAGGCGGAGGACAGATCGTCCTCGCAGAGACGGCCGCCGCGGTCGGAGCGCTGGCCGGGGTCCAGGACGCCACAGGTACTACAGCAATGTAACAATAACATGATAGCTGGGGGTCTTAAAAAGGTCTTAAATTTCATGTTCCTATATTAAGTCCTCAAAAGTCTTAAATTATGCTGTCCAAATCTTATTTTTTTCACAAAGGTCTTAAATTTCATTAGCCTATTTTTTGTATACTCAGCCGGGCTGCAGTTCAATATTAAACGGAGGGAGGGAAAAAAAACAACTTGAAATCATGTAACGTGAACGAATGACCAATTTGGAGTATTCGCAAACAGTACTTTGGTTTCTGGTGCCGGCGGCAATGAGTAAACAATCAGTAATTTGGAGAAAGCTCTTAGATTCTAGATATAGTAGTTGGTTGTTCATTATTAGAACTGGACCTGGTGTTTTTCGCCTGCATAATGGGTGTGATGTTGGTCTTAATTAAAAAGGTCTTTAAAAAGTCTTAAATTTGAAGTAGTCACACCTGGGGATACACTGAAGAAAACATCGGTTTTACTTTATTTTAGCTACTCTGCATTAAATAGAATGTCTACACACAGAATACACACAAAAATACATATTAATTTGTTTTAAATGAATTGGTAACTAGTTTCAAAGTAGTTAGAATCCATCATTGAGAGAAGAGAAAAACACTGCATGGGTAAAATACAAAATAAAATGATTTGCTTTGGCATTTAATATTCATACAATCGTAAGTAATAGTAGAATTATCATGCATTTGTTTATGGAGAATACAAATGCACTGTGGTCAATACCTCTAACCAAATAACCCCATTCATGTTCATATTTTATCTTACAGTGCAATCTACTGTAACTATTCATAAGAAACTGAGGACTTGAGCTAATCAGATGTAATTAATGTGGCAGAATAAGCCTCCTCAGTCACACAGAGGCCCCTTTAATCTGCTGTGTGCTGATGGGGCAGATGGTGCTCCACTGCTGCACATTTAGTTTAGTCATATTTAGACTCAGATCTGTACAGAGGTTAATTTTAATCTTCATGATTATTTATGTTTTGATTTGTTTTTATTATGATTTTAATGTATTTCTTATTCTGTAAAGCACTTTGAATTACTTTGTGTACGAATTGTGCTATACAAATAAACTTGCCTTGCCTTACAGAATACACACAGTGGATTCTGCTCTGACAGAGGGAAGGCTGATTAAAGGGACTCTACCCATTTATTTCATGCAGTAAAATAAGTTTGTCTATTTGTCCCAGTACAGATGTATTGTAAAAGCCGCTCTTGGGCTCAAACCGAGACCTCTGTGTGTTGTCTACATGTAATTATGAAACATTTTTATCGTCTGTGAACCAGGAGGCAATGCCGATGCACTGTTACCATGCTAGTTGTTGTCATGTTGTAATTATGAGTGGAGTGTGTTAGGTGAAGGTTTAAGTGAAGTAGACCAGTGCAAAAGATTGTAGAAAACCAGGAAGTCTACAAACTGCCTGAAATGTTCCACAGTATGGCATTACATATATCTATTTCCAAGGATACAAGCAGGTGACACCAGGTTAAGTTACATGCCAGATCTATGGAGAGGTGAACCTTCTCATAGTGAAAAAATATGTTTTTCAATGTATTTTTACAGCAATAAAACACCTTAAAGTTATACTTAATGCCCTGCTGTAGGGTTGTAATACGGTATTACAGTATCCCACGTTATCAAAAAGTAGGAATGGTATCAGTTTCATTGGCGTCATTAAAAAAAATCTGCAGCGCATAAGGACCTAATATAATACTATAATTTATTGATACCTAAATGTGTTTGCTCAGCACAAATTATGTGTGGTTGTATTTTTAATTTAATGCTATCATGATTTAAAACTAATAGTGTCTATAACGTTTCTTTAACTGCGTGGGGGAATGACTTCGATTAGTTTTGCTTTGTTGTCACGTGACGCTCATAAGAGAGACCGAGACAAGATGGCAAGTCCGACCGCAAGACAAGTTGAAAAAATACTAGTACTTCTGGCAGCATTTTGGCTTCAGGTGCACATTTGTTTATGTTTTACAGAAACAAAACTTAAAACCACACACTGAAAATACATTTGCATAAACTATAAAGCGCTGATAAAAACAGCTCGCTCCTTGTGCGCTGGTGCGGTTCAGCTTCTGTCGGACTAAAGGACACGACTCAGTGGAATATGAGTGTTCTTTCTGTGACAGAGGATGTGCTGCTGATGGTGAGTCTGTTCTGTGCGTGTATCGTGTTGGAGATGGTTCATGTGAAACTTTTCAGAGATTATAAATTTGCAGGTCATACGCGTAGACCGTACAGCGGTGCAGCTTCGTAGTTTACCAGAGTCATACTAAAACATTTTGGTAATACTAGAGGTATAACAATATCCATGTCTCATGATATCGTCACAGTATAAACCTCATGGTACGATATTTATTGAGATATCATGGGAAAGCTCACGATTAGGGATGTAACAATATCCAAATCTCTCTGTATACGATGTTTTCATGATATACATCTCATTTTATATTTACTGCGAAATTTTGTGGAGGCGAACAAAACTACGAATATGCTTCTTTTTTTCCTCTTAAAATGCCTTAACAAGACTTAATCCAAAGAACTACTTAAGACCTTAAAAGTGCTCATTTCTTCTTGTAGTCTGCATTGAAATGGAGCCAAAGGATCATGGTCTGTGTAGTTCCCTCTGTCTTTTTTTTAGCTCTTGTTCATTTAAGCAAAGAGACTTCTAATTCGATATATTGTGATGGTCCACGATATTATTGTGAGAAATTTGACAATACGATATCACGATATTTCAGTTATTGTTACTCTCCTGGGTAATACCATAATAATACCTCGGTAAAATCTTGAGAAGTTTTAACGGTATCAAAATTTGGATAACGCCCAAACCTATCCTGCTCTGAAACATTCCGGGCAAAGCATAAAGATGGTGGTGGAACTGTCTCTAAAAAGTTCCATAGTGCCTCTTTAAAACGCTCGTGGATGTGATTGTGAATGTGGATTTTTATAAATATACTTTGCGTCATCCTTCACGTATTATTATTATTGCAAATTAGCTCATCCCTGTTCTTGTAAAGTTTATTTCGTCTTTGGCTCTTTAAATATAACTCGCATTTGCATTTTGTAGTTGCATTTTTTGTCAGTTACTCAATACTCAGAAAAATCATTTAATGCACTCTGAATGAATAATATAGACAGACTTCAATCAATCATGCGTGAAACCCGGCCTCAGAGTCCGGCGTGTCCTTTGATCAGCGGAGGACACTGATCTCTCCTAATCCATACATTGATGAACAAGGTAATTCTCGCCCCTCTCGATGTAATGTCTGAAAGATCAATGCGAAATCAATACCAGCGACATCCTCCTTTTATCAGGCTGTCAATTCCTCATTAGTGTTTTCTTTGCATTTTAGCAGGTTTTAAATATTGATGCTAAAAACGGTGTAGATCCCACAGAGACCTGCCGAACACTTGACCTGCTCCATTAACAGTTCATAGTTCACACAATTAGCAGAGTGCACAGTTTTCTTAACCTGTAAATATGAAGGTATTTGTCCAAAACAGGATTACACAGTGTTTTTTCAATGCACAATGTGGCTGTTGTGTTGATATAATTCCAGTATTTTCATAATTTTATAATTTTTGACGCAATAATTTCAGTTATACTAAAACCACAGTATGTTCCTTTGTTGTTTCTGTGAGCGAGCTTGCATCTCCATAAACCTAACTCTTATTTATTGTTGTGCCGTCAAAGTTCTCACAATAATATCGTGGGCTGTCACAGTATATTGAATTATAAGCTTCTTTGCGTAAATGCTTTGTTTTATTGCAGCAACAGCTAAAAATGGAGGAAACTACTGTACATAGACTGTGATCCTTTGTTCCATTTCAATGCAGAAAACATGAAGAAATATCTGTCATAAAGAACTTTTCTGTCTTAATTCTTTAGACAAGGATATTATATTGCTAATATTGGCCCAAGTCGAAGCCTTCTAAAGGAAAAAAGTAGAATTTCTTCAGTTCTTCATGTATTTCCACAAACCTAACTCTTATTTGTCGTTGTGCCGTCAAAGTTCTCACAATAACATCGTGGGCTGTCACAATATATCGAATTATCAGCTTCTTTGCTTAAATGCTTTATGTTTTATTGCAGCAACAGCTAAAAATTGAGGAAACTATTGTACATACACTGTGATCTTTTGTGCCATTTCAATACAGAAAACATGAAGATATAATTGTCATAAAGAACCTTTCTGTCTTAATTCTTTGAACATGGACATTATAACATTAATATTGCCCCAAGTCAAGGTCTTTTAAAAGAAAAATGTAGAATTTCTTCAGTTCTCTTTTGTTTCTGTGAGCGAGCTTGCTTCTCCATAAACCTAACACTTATTTGGCCTGGAAGAGGGCCTCCTCCTGCTTGTTTCCATAGAAATGTTCCATTAAAATGTTCAATAAAGCTTATCAGTCTAAATGGTGAATGATGAAAGTATGGATGTTTAACCTTCTATTTCTATGGAATTGTGCAGGTGGCGTGACACCTCCAGAAAGTTACATACTGTAGCTTTAAAACAAATCTAGGTCTTAATTAGACTAAATTATCAAAAGTCAAAATTAAAATCTAAATAAAACTTAAAGGAGCCAGAACCAAGACTAAATCATGGCAACTTTTGACTGAATGATGAATATCTGTCAGTTTTAACTTTTTCACTATAAAATACTACATCTGAAGGATCTTGTTATTGGAATATACTGCATTTAGTTTGTGGAGATATTGTTTATTCCACCAGTACTGGCTCTAATTTGAACTCATATTTATAAACATTTTTTACAGAGTATTTAACTTTAAAAGAATTTTAAATTCTCATATTCAAAATATTTTCTATAATTATTTACAAGTCTTACTTTTAAAAGCAACAATTACAATCACGATTAGTTCACAGTGTGTACAATTTGAGTCTATTAATTTACGTATCAGAACTTTTTTTAGTATTTTCTCCTGTGTCAAGTCCTAATCTGGACAC